CCTAAATTTTGAAAAAACGATTATTCAATTCTTGGTGGTACTTTACATATTGGCAAAAAATTATAACAAATAATCCGGGACACCTTAAAATTTGAAAAAAATCATTATCCTACTTTTGTTTGCAGTTTGCGTATGAGAATATAAGTGGTAGTTTGTGTAATTCAAACCCTGTACACTACTACTATTAATAAATATAATTTTCATTAGGCTACAACTTTTTTGTTGTTCTATTCTAAACACTGTGTAATAGAAAAATCCTATTCTCTATCTTTAATTATTTTCAAAACCTAACAATTAATCTGATTACAAGCTACCCTTAATTTGTATGGATTTCATGGTTGTACGACAAGTGTTGAAAGTATCTTTTCAGTTTTGAGTTACATCAAGAATAAATTTAGAATTCGAATATGCGTCAATTTGTGTATGATTGTCTAGTAGGATATACCGAGACAACTTTGTTTGAGCAGTGTAGACACCAAGTGTATTTTATAATTTTTTTCAGAATATGAAAATATAACATGGACTTTTTTTAACTTGTACGAGTTGATTATTTTCTGATTTAAGAATTATTTATTTTTTATTTATTTTTTGAAAGAGGACACTTATGTAAAATTCCTCTGTTGGGCAGGCTCCCAGATAATACATATATATAATGCGAATCGGGTTAAGTTAAAATCATCATTTCTAGAAAGATTGAATGACGAATCTTACACATTCTTTGCAAACTGCGTTTAAACAAACAAAAACCAAAATTTAATGTGAAGTTGCACAAATCCAATATTTTTCACATACATTTGCAACAATGCACGCAAAGATCTAACATTGAACCGAAATTTAATTCGGCTTCCTGAAAAGCTGCAAGTAGGGATAGCTATATGGTCCGGTTAAATTGGCTCGAATTGATTCGGTTCTGGTTCGGTCTTTTCGAGAATAGAAGGACCAAAGATTTTATTGAATACAGTTCGGTCTTGATCGGGCCGATCCTAATTTGGTCTTGATTTCAGATTGAGCAAGTGAGGATTTGAGTGGCCTAAGGGGAGATTTGAGTGGCCTGAGGCCTGAAAGAATGTGAAGGTTAAATTTTGGGTGTTGGACTCTTTTGTTGGGTCTTTATCCGATTTTCGGTCCGATCCCGAAGGATTTTTTTTACCTCAAATGGCCCGAATATAAAATTAGATTGTTTGCTATCCGATCCCGATCCGAATTATACGGTCCAATTTTGAATAAAATAAAAAAGCCGGGACCAAATAACCACCCCTAACTACAAAATATTTATATACTATTTTAACTGTTAAATAAATAAACCAAATGGCAGGAACAAGAAGGGATGGGACTAGGCATTGAGCAACTGCCAAGTGTGGGTGGTGTATTACATACGTGGCAGAGACCCATCACCCGTACAAAATCATGACCGCCATACACCGCCCTCCACGTGGACTAACTGTTCGCTGGCAACTACGTCTCTCAGGAAAACGGAATTTGGTTGGGATTAAAAGAATCTTAAAAACAGGAAAAGAGAGAAGAACAAACGACGGCTACATGGCAATTACTTAACCCACCTTTGCCCTGGGTCCCGCATGCACCGTGGGGTCGGCGGATATTTTGGGGGTCAATACATAAATAGCCACCCAACTTTTAGTCGATGACAAATTGATCACTTAATTTTTTATAACAAATATTACCATTACATTTTAGTTTAACTAATGGGATTTTTCCAGAAATAGCACTTTTAAAAAAAAAAATTCCAAAAATAGCACCCAACTCCGAAAAATTCCAAAAATAGCACCCTTTCTGAAAAACCGCTCCCTACCAGTGCGGTTTAAGCGAAAACCGCCACCCAGGGGAGCGTTTTTTGATGAAAACCGCACCCCCAGGGGGCGGTTTTGCAGACCGCACCCCCACCATGCGATTTGGTTGCAGATCGCACCCCCAGGGTGCGATCTGCTTTTTTTTTTTTTTTTTGAAAAATCCTAACCTAGGTAGAAACTTCAAACGGACGTATCTTTGTGTTCGGGTATCCAATCGTCGCAAATTTTTTTTTATTCCGCATAACTTTTTGAGATTTTGCAAGCCAAAGGTGGTTTGGTCCCGCATTCATCCCAAAAAATGTCGTTTGCTACCCCGAACGAGCTTTTTTCCGATTTCGTCAAACTTTGGACAATCATAACTTTGTGCTCCAAAATCCAAACAACATGAATTTTTTTTTATTTCGCATAACTTTTTAAGGACTACAACTTTTATCATAGACACAATTTCAAAATGTACGTGGATTGCTGAGAAGGGAAGGTAAGCTATTCCCAAAATCCTGTATATCCAAAAATAATTCCTGTTTTGAAAATTCATTCTAGTAAAAATTGTAGTCCTTAAAAAGTTATGCGAAATAAAAAAAAATTCATGTTGTTTGGATTTTGGAGCACAAAGTTATGGTTGTCCAAAGTTTGACGAAATCGGAAAAAAGCTCGTTCGGGGTAGCAAACGACATTTTTTAGGACGAAGGCAGGATCAAACCACCTTCGGCTTGCAAGATCTCAAAAAGTTATGCGGAATCAAAAAAAATTCCGCGACGATCGGATACCCGAACACAAAGATACGTCCGTTTGAAGTTTCCACCTAGGTTAGGATTTTTCAAAAAAAAAAAAAAGAAAAATAAAAGCAGATTGCACCCTGGGGGTGCGATCTGCAACCAAATCGCACCCTGGGCAAAACCGCCCCCTGGTGGTGCGGTTTTCATCGAAAAACGCGCCCCTGGGTGGCGGTTTTCGCCTAAACCGCACTGGTAGGGAGCGGTTTTTGGAAAAGGGTGCTATTTTTGGATTTTTTCGGACTTAGATGCTATTTTTGGAATTTTTTTTTAAAACAGTGCTATTTCTGGAAAAATCCCTTAACTAACATGGTGGTTAGGGATGGCAATGGGTCGGGTTGGGTCGGGTTTTGCCAAACCCAAACCCAAACCCATGGGTTTATCCGTGAAAAAAACCCGGGGTAAAACCCACTGGGTTTGAAAAACTCAAACCCAACCCAACCCGCTGGGTATCCGCGGGTTCATGGGTACCCACGGGTTTTTGTTGTAAAAAATTCACAATAACAAGTTCCTATCAAACTTGATGTCAAATATCAATCTCTCAATACAAATTATCCATATATAAAACACCATTCTAGAAAATTCAAGCAAATCACAAATTAACTATACAAATTGTTCAACACCAATCTAGAAAACTCAAGAAAATTGAAGCAAATCACAAATTATCCATAAATAACATGATTAATTGAAAGCTTCTTCCTTTCAATTAAGTTTTTCAATCTCCACTCGATAACATCAAATTCATTCTACACAACTAAAAAGAAAAAAATTAGACATGTCTCCACAAACATAAATTAGATTAGTTGTTTAGAATATTAAATATGCCGAGAAATTTAATTATATGGGTGTGGGCGGGTACCCATGGGCCGGGTTTACCTAAACCCAAACCCAACCCAACCCGGTGAATAGTGAACGGGTTTAAACCCAAACCCGGCCCAAAACCCGTCAACACGGATTTTACCCGCGTTGACTGGGTTGGGTCGGGTGGGTACCCGTGGGTTCGGGTTTTATTGCCATCCCTAATGGTGGTAATCCCTCCCTATCACATTTTTGGCATCCTTTCTTCCACACTAGTATTAATCGGAACAGATCAGGTCAGTAACCTTATGGTGAGTAACCATGAATAACCTGTTTACATCAACAAGACATCAGCATCTCTCTGTCTCCTGTAAAGCCTTTAATTTTTCCCTCCTTAGTCTTTGATGGACGATTTCTCACTCGTTTTAAGTCGATTTTTTTTTGCACAGTCAGATCAGATAATTGTGCTCTTCAAAATATGACATCAGATAATTGTGTTCATAATGGTGATATGAACAAACCAAGACTGTAGGATGGTTGAATACATGATAGTAGAAGTATATTAACTGTCATTTACGACTTTTAACATTGTGTGTACCACAAGATACCACCCTGTATCAGGGTGGTATTGTGTGGTATTTTTTGGTCCTGTAATTTGTTCACCCAGAAATTTGTAGATCCAATAGATCATGATGAACTCGTTCCTTCTGTGCAAACGTTTTCAAAAACGAATTAAAAACGAAGAAGATACCATATGGTATGCAGTTGGTACCAAGAGGCAAGAATTTTTTTTTCCTAAAAAAAATATTGAAAATGTATCTCATTTTTGTAGAGCACAACGAACTCGTTCCATCTGTGCAAAAAAATTAAAATCCGAGTTAAAACGAAGAAGATATGAGCCGATTAAAAAAGTCAGAGAAAATAAAAATGTAATTTAATTCTTCATCCTTAGATCTGAATTTTCTAAATGAATGTTTCAGATTTAGTTATTGATGGGAGCATAATCCATGGTTATGCACCCTATCTTGAGCCGTATTAATCCTCTTGCATATAACTATCTGTTACGAGCGATATCTGTACTGGACCTACACCCTTTTGGAATAGAATTCTAGTCCAACTCAGCCATCTCGATGTCTTGATCTACAACAACTTTCGGGGGGGGGGGATCGAACACATATATATAATTAACTTACTCTAGTGATTTCTTTTAATCCAATTGATCAACATGAGTCCAAGATGATTTGCATACGATTCATATGAAAGCCTTAAAAGAGTCGAAACCGTAATTGTCAAGTTAGTTGTTTTCTGAAAAATGATGGATGCGGGTGTTAATAAAATAAAATAGCAGTGACGAAATTGGCTATCGCCGTAAACTCGAGTAGCGTGTTGTTGCAATTGGTCCCCGAATTTTGTTGTGCCCGGGGGTGGAATGGCCAAATAATACCGACTGATCGGAAGGTCCAGTAGGGCCCACGGTTTCGCCGAGTAGACCGGGGATGTGGGTCCCACAAACAAGGGTCGGCTGGGCTTCGGCCAATCGGCCCGACCCACACAGTTCGTTTTTCGTCCGTTAGCGGATGGGGTTTGCAGCTATAAAACCACACCCACCCTTCGCCTTCTTCCTTACCCAACAATTCTCTCCCACCTCTCTCGCTCTCTAGCTCCTTCCTTAATCCCACTCTCGCTTTCTGCTTCTACACTGATCGGCCTTCTTCATTCTCCCATTTCCCTAGCTCGATTTGAGAGTTAATTCAGGAGAAAAATCTGTTCAAAAAACAGAGAAAGAAGAAACAGAGAGCACTCTGCTTTTTTCGCCTAGTTAGCTCACCCCATTCCATTTTCCAATCTTCAAAGAAGGTTCTAACTCGGTTTTCTTATAAGGTAAATTTGTTAGCTTTAAACCCAGTTAATGGGTTTCTTCGAATCGGTGGAATATAATTTCAAATGGGCTTCCTCTGTTTTTGTTTTGTTCTTACAATTTGGGGATGTCTTTTTTTTTTTTTTTTCCTTACAGAGATGACGAACCAAAATGTTGTAGTGCCGGACACGAAATCAGGGATCAACTTGCCAATGGTCCGTCTTTCGGGCTCGTCGATCTTCCCGGCGGCGGCCCAGAAGCCGCCGACGGCTCCTGGAACCGGCGGCGGGGGCTGCATCTCTCTGTCGACCAAGAAGAAGCTCCTCCTCGAGAATCTGGAAATCAATGGCGGCGGCGGAGGAGGAGCCAGGATTAACTCCTGGATTGACTCCATGCGAGCTTCCTCGCCGACCCACATGAAGTCGAGTTCGCAATCTCTATCGGAAGATCAGCAGCTCCCATGGCAGCAGCAGCAGCAGCAGCAGATTACTCTGCCGTCGGCCATGGATAACTTCGACCAGATAATGGAAGCTTCTCGAGGGAAGCAAATTGTCATGTTCCTCGACTACGATGGCACCCTTTCCCCCATTGTCGACGACCCCGATCGTGCTTTCATGTCCAAAAAGGTCCGCCATTTCGACTCCCCGGAAAGCCCAAAATTGAAAAGATTTAAAAACTTTCCTCTGTTTTCATGACTGAGAAATTTTCCTCTGTTTTCTTTCTTTCTTCAGATGAGGACGACTGTTAGAAGGCTGGCTAGGTGTTTCCCCACCGCCATAGTGAGCGGAAGATGCAGGGACAAGGTACATTAATGCCGTGCAAACAAAAAACAACAAAAAACTGAATCGATTCCTTCCCCTGAAATCACCTTTTTCTCTACTCACTCTCTCTTCCCCTGTTTTTTGCAATTTTGGCGCAGGTGTACAAATTTGTAAGGCTAGCAGAACTCTACTACGCTGGTAGCCACGGGATGGACATTAAGGGTCCGGAGAAAGGCTCCAAGTACACTAAAGTAAGCAACTGAACTGGAAAGTAGCAAGCTTTCAAACCGCAGGAACCGCAGAGTAACTAACTACTCTGTTCTTCTTCTCTCTGATAAATCAGGGGACCGAGCCGGTGATATGCCAGCCGGCGAGCGAGTTTCTGCCGATGATCGACGAGGTGTTCAAGGAGTTGGTGGCGAAAACGAAACTGACTCCCGGAGCCAAAGTTGAGAACAACAAGTTCTGCGTTTCAGTTCACTTCCGGTGCGTGGAGGAGAAGAAATGGAGTGAAGTGGCGGAAGCCGTTAAGTCCGTTTTGAAGAAGTATCCCAAACTCCGCCTTTCACAAGGAAGAAAGGTAATTATAAGTTATAACTACTAGTATTTTTTATTATTGTATTTAATTGGTTAATTACGAGTTTAAGAGAATTGAGTGTAGTTAAGTAATTAATTAATTACTTTGTTTACTTACACTACAGGTACTGGAAATCCGACCCACAATTAAGTGGGACAAAGGCAAGGCTCTGGAATTTTTGTTAGAGTCTCTTGGTGAGTATTCTAATCACAATTAATTAAAATCTTAATTATTATTAATTTTTTTAATGGTGGGTTTGTTAAGTTTCTTAATCGTGGCTTTAAGAAAAGCATCAACTGTCCCAAAAAGCGAACCCACCTTATTCCCACTTGAGATTTGAACTTTAGTCAAATTACCAAATCACTGAAACTAACTTTAACTAATCACATGTAATTATGAGGCCCAATAATGAATTAATATAACAATTTTTTGGTTATTTAATATTGTACGTGTTGGTGTTGTTTTCCTTATCGCAGGATTCGCAAATTGTACCGATGTTTTCCCTGTTTATATTGGAGATGATCGAACTGATGAAGATGCATTCAAGGTATCCTATGTTTTCCCCTATTGTATCCTTTACCATTTCCTTTTTTTTTCTAAATTTTTACATGGGCAGCCTTTATTTAATTTTATTTATCTATGGGCAGGTATTGAAAGAGAGGGAGCAAGGATTTGGGATTCTTGTGTCCAAAGTTCCAAAGGAAACTAATGCTTCTTATTCCCTCCAGGAACCTACCCAGGCAAGTCTCCAAAATATATTTCATAATTGTTAAATTTTCCTCTTTTTTTTTTGGGTAATAATAATAATTATTTTGTAATTAGTTAGGTGATCACTTTGGCTAATGGTGGGAGATTGTGTCGATTCCTTGCAGGTTATGGACTTCTTGCAACGATTGGTGGACTGGAAAAAGCTGGCTTTCCAGGAGTCCAGGATGTAGATTCATTGATCAGTACTGGGGGATTGGATTGATGGAGTTCTTAATTGTATTAATTAGCATCTATTCTTAGTTAATTAAGTAATTAAGCTGTATAATTATGAAATTAAGGAAAAAGAAGGGAAAAAAATTGTACATCCCGGGTACCCTGGACCCTTTTGAGGGGGTAAAAAAGAAATGTAAGGGTGGGAGAATATTAGTTTTTTTTATTTCTAATTTCTCCCTTAAGTTCCTTTTTGTTAGAGGGGAAGTTGGATTAAATCCATGTAATTAAGGGAGAAATTAACAGGGGAAGAGGGTTTAACCATTTTGAGTTTTACTCTTTGCCTTTTGGTTTAGTAAATGGCCTTTTCTTTTGTACATCTTTGTAATTCCAGCCAACTGTTTGTGGTTATATATGAAGGAAGGAAATCAAGACTTTTGTCCATCTTTTATTTGTTCCTCCCGTATTGCACTTGGGTTACTCAAAGAACGGGGGAAATACAAAGCAATTTTAGTTGTTTGCATGGCATGCAAGATTCTCGAGTTTTAGCTTCCAAGTTTTGTGGAAATCAATATATGAGGTTGAAGAGTGAAGAAGAGATGTCAAACTACTAGTCATTAGAGGTCGGGCTCAGCTCTTCTAATGATGGGGTTGGATAGAAAAGATTCATATAATGTTCATCTATGAGTTGAAGTTAAAAGAACAAGTACATGATTAGTCACGAGATCGACTTTGATGATTACTCTTCTACGAACTTACTTCTAATAATCACATGCGTCTAGACTAACAATAAAAAATCAATTCATATACGAAATCTATATAATTCCATTAAAAAACTCTCTAGAAAATGTCATTTTTCATTTGGTGTTTATTCCACATGGCCCCCAAAATATAGCAATCAAAACCACCCATCAACAAAGTTTTCATCAAATACGATAAGAGGTTTCAACGTACACTATCCCTTCTTCTCATTTATCAAATAGGACTTGCTGGCAAAACAGTCGTTGTGGTGAAAACAGTCGTTTTAGACAGTTAGAAAAGGGGAAATCCTATTTGGCTAGCTAGTATCTATCCAAGTTCCAACCCATGAGCGACACGTGACTCGTGGATTAATAGTAGCTATGGTCAAGATGACTCGTTTGGATAAGTGCTCTTCTTCCTTTGCTCGTAGTCTGAGGTTCGAACCTACCTGTTGATAAAAGAGAATAAAATCCAACACCCATTTTTTCTGATAAAAATGTTCTACATGGCGTAAAACATTAAACATCGATTTTATGGACTTCTTGGTAGATTAACATAGTTTCTATTTATCTGTAAGTTCCCATTCGTTGGAAAAAACAATTGATGTGGGGTGATTAACGTATTATTACCCAATACATTCATCAGAATCATCACAGAACTTTGCTGGATTCTAGCTAGAACATGGGATTGTCACTTTGTTTATGTTGAAAGCACGAATGGCCACCAATCATCCCATATTCCAAACTGCACACATAGCATATCATAATATTGGCCTGTTATTAGGGTTTTTTTTTCTTCCTTGAAGAAATTAAAGATTTAGGTGCCACTTGCTCAACTACTACTATTCTATGTACGAGAGATGCTACCTGTACTGAATAAAATCAAAATTCTCCCCAATGAAGAGGCCACAGTCATATCTTTTCTAGTCATGGGAACCTTATATCATTCATAGGTTCTCTTAGCTACATAGCTTCATAACCAATTATATACACATTGCATCAATATGTTCCCATAAAAGGACCCCTCCACCCTCAGAGTGAGACCATATCTGTAGAGAGAGAGAGAGAGATACAACAATGGTGATTCTCACACTAAAAAGAATCTCATAAGGCAACATTCTTTCTTCACGTACGTGCTCCTTTTTACTCTTATCAGCCAAACTATATGCTGTGTGCAATTATTGATCTAAGAGCTATGGCCCTACTTCGATGAAGCCTAGCAGGCGTCTCGAATGGAGCACGCACAAAGTTTACTATGGCAAAAGTTTGATTGATGCCATTCCATATTGCAAAACTACCATCTATATATATACATTCCTTTTTCTTCCACTTGGTCGTGTAGGTTGTGACGTTTTATTTGAGATCTCAAGTTGGTGATTTATGGTAAAGATAAATGTGTTTGGGGAATTGTTTAGAAGGCTAGTTTATAATTATTTTCATATTCTCAAAACTTTCGTGACCAAAAGTTAGGAGATTAACTTATGATAGAACATTGTTTGGTAGGTTTAGCACTAGCAGGGGGTTTGATCACGAAAATATCACTTACGATGCAAATATTTAAGATAGCCAGACTTTGTATTCATTACGTTCGTAAAGTTTTCACAATGAGATAATAACGCTTACAAATATTTTATAAAACATACATAAATCAAACATCCTTGAACGATCAATCGATAGGATCATACATTATTTGCTAAAATCTAAAAACTCACTATTAACAACCGATAGGATCATACGTATATCAAATTTAATTGTTAAAATAACTTTGGAATAAGGAGATATTAACACTTCGATAGAAGTTGATCCTAGAAAGTAAGGGGTCGTTTGGAACCTTTGATTCTGGAAATGATTTATTACGAGAATATGTGTATTAAAGATTATGTGTGTACTAAGAATGTGTGGTTTTGAAAATTCATTGTTTGGAACCCATACAATAATGCATGGATTATAGTTTAAATGAACCATGGATACTAAAATTAAAATCTCACAAAAAATGTAAGATTATGAATACATAATATTCTAAGTATTAGGGAATGCGACATGAATTATGAATACATGCATTTTGTTATTACATCAAGTAAAAAAAGTTGTATTCTCGATATACATGTATACTGAGAATACAACATCTGAAAACGGAGTTTCCAAACGAGCTTAAGTAAATTTTTATGTATGTGCAATTGGGTACGAGGAGAAGATATTTCCATGACTAGGTTAAGGACAAATCCTTAATCCGGGGATAAGATCACTGCATCGATTTATGATTGGTGTGTTAAGGATTGGGTCGTTTTTTTATTGAGAGTTACAAAGAGCAATGTACTATAGCTATGATGGAAAAGGGCCACCATAATAGCTTCAAGATCAAAACAAAAACATCTCTTCCTGTCCTGACTCCTCATAACCTCTTTTGTTTTTTTTTTTATCTCATCCCAATAAGCCATATATGCTGAGTCAAAAGGAGTCCCCTTTGAACTTTGAAGCGTATGATAACAAAAAAGATGGTTTTGTACCATGTTGCTATGGCCATTTTCAAGTTTTCTCTTTCTGCCAACTGTTTCCCTCTCCCGCTCTCTTCTTTTCTATGTTGTCTCTTGTTAGGGGCTATCACAATTTGTTTTACTATCCCATTTTCAGATAATTAGATTCCATTAAAAGATGGATCTGACGGGCTAGACGCATTTAAAGCGGTTAAAAACGAGATTTTACGCATTTGAGTGAAATTGAAATCATAAAATTGTAAGATTTTAATATTTTCGTGAAAAAATAGTGAGTAATATTAATAAGGTAAATAATGGATATCACAAAGACACATAACAATCAAAATAATAATTTCGCAAGGTTATTGTTCTAATTCAACACAAATGCAACCTGACTAACTTGCACCTAAGCTTATAGAGTAGCTACCCACAACAACAATCTCACTATAGGAAGGTTATTACTTACAAGTACTTGGATAATATGAAATTATTATGGGTTATCAGTTTTTGTGTGTGGTGTCATAGTATTTTCTTCGTTACATAATAAATTTGATAGTGCGGAAGAAAACACCACAACAATTTTACGTGGTTTCCCTATTCGATGTGAACATGACAACTCCACGGTGAGCTCGATGGAGCTCACCGCTGATTCCGTTATTCGTTTTTATTAATTGTGGTCGCTGACCTTGCACTGCTATGTATACCCTTCATCGATTTCTACTAGGGTATAATTACAAGGACAATCAAAGAGTGTGTAGATATGAGACACATCAGGCTTGTGGTGTGAGACGTCGATGGGATTCCCTTGGGGCCGATGGACTTGCTGGCCCGATTCCAATACTCTCCCACAAGCTGTGGTGTGAAGGTCACGAACACGTAGCTTGGACAATAGAAAATGAAGCTTCTCAGCACCAAGTCCGTTAGTGAACATGTCTGCGAGCTGCTGATGCGAGCTAATCTTCATGGGAGCAATGTCACCTGATTGGACGCCTTCTCGAACCAAATAGAAGTCCATCTCAACATGCTTCGTACACTCATGAAAGACAGGATTAACTGCAATATGAAGTGCTGCCTGAATGTCACAATAAAGGGAAATCATACCCTTTTATGTTACCCCAATCTCCTGTAACAACCAATGTAACCAAAGTACATCACTGACAGTGCTGGCCATCGCTCAATATTCCGCCTCTACAGATGAGCGGGCAACGACATGTTGTTTCTTGGTTTGCCAAGACATTGATACACCACGAATAATGCGATGTGCTACTTCCATATGAGCATGCGTCGGAGAATGAACAAACTGTCTGAGGATGTTGACCCCATGCGTGATGTTAGGATATGTCATCGCCAAATAGAGTAGCCGACCCACTAGTCGACGATATGATGTTGGGTCAGGATGACCAGCCGGAGTAGGATGACTACTAGTGGTGCCAGATTCATTAAGGATATCAAGAACATATTTCCAATGACTAAGAACCATTCCTTCAGGTGTGCGTGCAACTTTGATCCCCAAGAAGTAACACAAGATACCGAGATCCTTGATGCTAAAGCGATCATGTAGAAATCATTTGACCTTTGAGATAAAGTCCAGGGAATTACCAGTGAGACCAGCATCATCGACATAAATCATAGAAATAACATGAATACTCTCCCCTTCGAAAGAGAAACAATGATTGATCTGCAGGTGAAGACCGAAAACCCAATTCACAGAGAGAAGCCGTGAATTTCTGGTACCCATTCCGAGATTCCTGTCGCAGTGAAATGCCCATGTAAACATCTTCTGCTAGCCAGATCGTCGTGAAGGAAAGCATTGTTAACATCTAGTTGATGAATGTGCCATCCTATGCTAACAGCAACATCCAGAAGACACCAAATGGTTACAAGCTTGGCAACTGGGGCAAATGTGTCATGGAAGTCCACACCTTCAATATGTGTATAACCCTTTGCCACTAACTGAGCTTTATACCACTCGATTTTTCCATCAGGGTTAAACTTCACCTTGTCAACCCACTTGCAGTCGATAACTCTCTTACGTGGAGGTAAGATAACAAGGTTCCAAGTGCCATTTTGTTCAAGAGCCACAATTTTCGCATTCATGGCATGATGCCAACATTCTTCTTGTACGACTTCAAAAAATGTCACGGGCTCTGGATTATGTCCTAAAACTGTGAGAAAAGCACAATAATAAGTCGTAAAATGATCATAAATACGGTTTTCAGATAAAGGAAATTG